CTGTTTGGGGAACACGCTGGCTAACATGTATAAGGAAAAGGAACGGAAGATGGAAGAGGGAGGAGGGATGAGGAGCAGAAGCGGGACAAGGAGGAAGAGTGGTAAACAGAAGGAAGAGAGGTGCGGAGGGGGGGCGAGCATCCTCAACCATTCTCCTTCTAGCCGTGCCCCTTTAACCTTCTCCTCTTCAGCTCGCCCTCGAACTCCCTGTCTCGAACGGCAAGGTCACGCCGCCGTGGTGTGAGCTGCCGCTCCACGATGCCGCGCGGGCCGGACGGCCTCCGCTGCAGGCAGCCGCCCAGAGGCCGCCCAGAGGCACTCGACCCTCTCGGAGGCGACGATCGGGGCGAATGGCCCAGGGGGGAGTAATCCGCGCATCCATGGGCGACGATGGGCCATGCCTTCGACGAGGCTTCCCCGCGAACGGGTGTACCGCCCGCGCCTGGGTCGTGCCGGTCCTGCACCCCCTCCGAGTCCAACTCCTCCGCCGTCTCCTCGTCGGCTCGCCCTTCGCCCCCCCCCTCCCTAGGCGAGGAGGGGGGCGGGGGGCGAGCCGCACAGGGCGCGCAAGGCAGCGAGGAGCCCTCGCTGCCCTGCGCGCAACCACCCCTCCCGCTCGCGCGCACGATCCTGCGAGCTCCGCAGGGCCTCCAGCTCGGCCCTGCAGGCGCCCAGCTCGGCCCTCTCCTCGGCGGGCGGGTGGGGGGGGGCGGGGGAACGGCCAGCGCGCGGGTTCCCCCTGGGTTTCGCGGGGGGGCCCGGCCACCCAGCGTCCTGGAAACCATCCAGAAGCAGAGCAGAAGCTAGGTTTACAGACCACGCACTTGTAACCCAGGGTAGGGTCGTTTTCTCATCCCTCAAAACACAGGGCTCGCTTCGATTCCTTCGATTCGATTCGATTCGACTTCGATTGCTTCTGAGCCCGATTCAAGTCGAGTGGGGGTTCCGACGGGGGCTTCAGTGTCTCGCTGGAATGAGGCATCATAGCCTGCCGATGTCCGCCGATTCGACTTTTTCCCGATTTGGCTTCACAAATACGATCACCAACAACACTTCGGAACAAGCAGCAACGAACACGCACGACCAATGGTTGAAGACTGCTCGCTCTTCGTGGCTCGCGCGCCAATCAACATGTATACAAGTATACACTAGAACCCTGGATACCCACGCTCGCAGTGTTCAGTCGTACCCTTTTGGGGGTATCGGAGGTTGGGGGTGAGATCGCGGAGGAACGGAGAGCCCTCCACCGGGAAACCGGTTTCGGTTTCGTGTTCGTGTCGTGCGTGCGGGCGAAGCGACGCGAAGCTGCGTGGGCGCGCGAGAGGCATGATGCCGCCGTGGCTAGAGGCTGTGGAACCGGTTGTCCGCCCCTCCCCCCCGCGGCGAGCGGTGGCCGGGGGGGTCCCGTCGGTGGCGCGTCGCTGTCCCGTCGGCGTCCCGTCGGCAAGATGCCGCCGTGGCCAGGGGTCGCGGAGCAGGTTGTCCGCCCCCCTCCAACCCCAACGCGCGATGGTCCGGAGGTCCCGTCGATGGCGCGTCAGTGTCCCGTCAGGGTCCCGTCGGTGTCCCGTCGATGTCACGTCGGTGTTCCGTGTCCCAACGAAGAGCGGCGCGAGTCAGTGTCCCGGAGCAGGGCGGCGAGATCGATAGTGAGATCGCTCAGGAGATCGATCGTGAGATCCGTTGTGAGATCGACAGTGATATCGATCGTGAGATCGATTGTGAGATCCGATATGTGATGAGATCGATGGTGATATCGCTTGTGAGATCTACGGCGAGATCAACGACAGTGAGATCGATCATGAAAGCAATTGTGAGATCGACTGGGAAATCGGATGTGAGACTGTCAGTGAGAACTGTTGTGAGATCGATATCGGCTCCACATATGAGATCGATAGTAAATCCAACCAGCCCTCTGGGCGTCGGTGGTCTAGGGAGTTTCCTCTTCCACCCCTCCTTCTTCCCCTTTGGGGAAGGGTTTACCCCTCCCCCTACCCCCTCCCCATGGACCTGGACAGGGGGGTCCGCGAGTCGTCGGAGCGTTCAAAACGGCCTCGGCGAGGAAGCCAAAATCATTGATTTTACTAGGCTTTTGGCTCCATTTTGGCCTCCTGGGGAGGCTGTAATTAGTACCCCCCCCTCCTGTGATCGATCGATCTCACCCAAGATGGCCCAAAGATGGCCGCAAGAGGCCCCCAAGAGGCCCCCAGGAGGCCCCCAAGAGACCCCCAAGAGGCCCCAAGAGACCCCCCAGAGGCACCCAAGATGCTCCAAGAGGCCTCGGCGAGAATGCCAAAGCATTGATTCTGCGAAGGTTTCTGCCACATGTTGGCCTCTGGGGGGGGCACTTATTCAGATGACTCCAAGAGCGCCTGGGAGAGCCCAAAATGACCTCCAAGATGGCTCAAGATATCCCAAGATGTCTCATAATGGCTTCCTCTGTGTGCTGCCCACTTCCCTGATCGAGGCAATTCCTCTGGGCATCATTTCTGGATGGGCTGGTGGGGATTCGCGAAGCGTCAACAATTCGATTTTCAGATCGGCGGCACGATCGATTGGGTGATTGATCGTGCGATCTGTTGGGAGATCGATCGTGAGATCTGTTGCGAGATCGATTGTAAGATCAAATACATCGAATGTGAAATGTGCAATGAAATTGATCGATCGTCATGAGACGATCGTGAAGGAATTCGTTAAGAGACCGATCGATAGTGAGATCTCGTGCGAGCTCGATAGTGAGAACGACAGGAGCTCGAACACAACGGATGCCACCATCCATGGGTCCTTTTCGTGCCCGCTCCAGGAGCTCTCCGGCGGAAGGCGGCTGCGGGGGAGACCAGCCGCGGCGCCACGCGACCGGGGTGCTGGCGATGCCGCTCGCCCGGCCGACGCCGCGCAGGACGGTGCTGCGGAGAATCCATGGGGCGCTCTTTCTTGACTCCGCCTCCTCCTCCTCCTCCTGCCTCCTCCTCCTCCTCCTCCTCCTCCTCCTCCTCCTCCTCCTCCTCCTCCCCCTCCTCCTCGGGGCGGCTCGGGGGAGCCGCCGCTCCCCGAGCCCGCCCCCTCCGGAGCCCGATCCAGGAGGAGTGTCTCGATCGCGCCGTCCCTCATGCCTTGAGGACGCCAGGTAGGATGACAAACCACAGTCCTTCATGCCCGGAGGACGCCGGGTGGGATGACAAACAACAGCATTCATCGCGACCAGCATCATCATCACGCGTCGTCGCCAACCCGAGGGCGCAATACCGGCATCGTCCTCATCACAATCACCACAAGTGCCATCAGTTGGTGCTTTTCCCCCCCAACCTCCTGATCACGGGAATAGGGGAACAAAAGTGACATAAACATAAAACCTCGGAGGTCCGCGCGGACTTTTCGGATCGGCGCTGGACCCCCCTCCCTAGCGCGCGGAGCGCGCCAGGGGCGGCGCCTGAGGCGCCGCCGGGGGGCCCCAGCGCCGATCCGAGAAATCTGCGCGGACCTCCGAGCTTTTATGTTTATGCTATTTTTTCCCCCCATTTTCGAGGATCGAAGGATCGAAGGATCGAAGGATCGAAGGGGTCGTCGTCTTCGAGGATCGAAGGATCGAAGGATCGAAGGATCGCAGGATCGTCACTTTTTGTTCCCCAAGGGAAGGGTGGCCGTATAGGAATCTTCCTTGCACGCCACGTGCACATAGCGCGGTCCCTGCATTGGGGAGAGCGGTGAACGGTGAACCGGCGTGCGCCGGAGCGCCCCCCGCTCGGGCTGCCGGACGTTATTCTCGCCCTGACATGGGAAGAGGAAGGATAAAAGAGGAAGGGACAGAGCGAGAAAAGGGAGGAGGAAACGAAAAGGAAGGGGGGGTAAGAGGGAGAGAGGAAAATTGACGGAACAGATTCAGCAGGAGGGGGCTGGTTGGGCGGCCGGTGGGCAGGAGGAGCAGGAGGAGGAGGAGGCTACGAGGAGGAGGAGGAGGAGGAGGAGGAGGAGGAGGAGGCTACGAGGAGGAGGAGGAGGAGGAGGAGGAGGAGGCTACGAGGAGAGAGGAGGGGAGGAGGAGGAGGAGGAGGAGGAGAGAGGAGGAGAGAGGAGCAGAAAGATTGGCGGTCGGACCCTAACAGGCGGGTCGGGCGGGCGGACATTCACGGGCGGGCCGGGAGGCAGGGTATCTCAGCGGGCGGGCGGGACTCCGAACAAGCGGGCGGGCGGACCTTAAAGGGCGGGTCGGGCGAGCGGACCCTGAGGGCATCCCCACTTTTGCCGAGCTCGTCAAGATGCTATTTCTACTTACGCCCCACCAGCGCCACGCACGTTCCCCTCCACCCCTCCACCACTCCGCTCTTTCCACCCCACCGCACTCACCAATCCACCTCCGCTTTCCCACACCTTCGCCCCACCTCTCTCATCCTTCATCCCCCGTCCTGCCCCACCTTCAACCCCACCCTCCTCCCCTGTACTTTTTTCCACCTTCCCTCCCCCACTCCACCCCTCCTCCTCCTTCCATCCTCTCTCTCGTTCCCCCTCTCTTTTTTTTCTCCACGCCCCCCTCCTTGTTCTGGCCCCGTGCTCCCTCCAACCCCCATTGTTTCTCTTCTTCTCCTCCTCTCCCCTCTCCTTTTTCCACACTCCCTTCCCCCTACTCCACCCATCCTCCTCGCACAGCTCCTTCGTAGGTGTTGACGTTGACCCCCTTATGCGGATGTCCTTGTCCTTGTCCTCCCTCCTCCTCCTCCTCCTCCTCCTCCTCCTCCTCCTTGTCCTCCCTCCTCCTCCTCCTCCTCCTCCTCCTCATCCTCCTTGTCCTCTATCCTCCTCTTCTCCTCTCTCATCCTCCTCCTCCTCCTCCTCCTCCTCCATCCTCTCTCGCCTCCTCCTCCTCCTCCTCCTCCTCCTCCTCCTCCTCCTCTCCTCCTCCTCCTCCATCCGCCGCCTCCGCCTTCGCCTCCGCCTCCGGCCTCCGCCTCCGCCGCCTCCTCCTCCTCCTCCTCCTCCCCTCCCCTCCTCCTCCCTCCTCCTCCTCCTCCTCCTCCTCCTCCTCCTCTCCTTCCCCCCCCCCTCCTCCTCCTCCTCCTCCTCCTCCTCCTCCTCCTCCTCCTCCTCCTCCTCCTCCTCCTCCTCCTCCTCCTCCTCTTCTCACTCACTCACTCACTCCTTCACTCACGCACTCACATCCCTCACTACACTCTCCTCTCTCTCTCGCCTCTCTCTCCCTGTCATTCCACCTCCTCCCTTTTCCTTCCGTCCGCGCCCCCCCTCCTCTTTCTTGGCCTCGTCTCCCGCCCCCCCATCCCTCCGCCCTCCCCCTCCTCTCCTCCTACCTCCTCCTTCCTCCTCCTCTCCTCCTCCTCCTCCTCCTCCTCCTCCTTCCTCCTCCTTCCTCCTCCTCCTCCTCCTCCTCCTCCTCCTCCTCCTCCTCCTCCTCCCCCCCTCCCCCTCCTCCCCCTCCCCCTGCCCTCCTCCCCCTCCCCTCCTCCCCCCTCCCCTCCCCCTCCCCTCCTCCTCCCATCGCCCCCGGCCTCCGACCCCCCTCCTCGTGCCGCCGGCCCGTGGAGAGAGCCCTCTCTCGGCGCCCCCCCTTCCCCAGGACGGGCGACGCCTCGTCCTTGGAGCGCTCCTACGCCGCCGACCCCGCGGGGCCCGCAACGGGCCCCGTGGAGGCCCCGTGGCTCCTCGGGCCTCCTCTGCGCAGAGGAGGCCCGAGGAGCCACGTCTAGGGAGCAGAAAATCCGCACTCAAAAAATAATCGCACCGACACGCGGAGCCGTTTAGCAAGCGCGCCCAGAGAGGGAGTCGAACCGGGCGGGGCCGTTTCATAAACGGCCAGAGCCCGTTGGTAAACGCCCCGTGTCGGGTCCGGGTGTTCTTCCTGCCCTGAACGTCGGCACTGAAGAGCCACGACGTCGGAGGTCTGGCCCCTCCCCCCCCCATCCAAAGAGAAGCATCCGGAGGCCACCCCCGAGGCGGCTGGAGGCCCCAAACAGGAATCGATAGAGCGCCCGAAAGGTAGGAGGCAACTACTGTGAGGTCTTCGTCGGAAGGATTAGGGATAATTAACCCCCACTGGGGGGGCTGTTACGCCGGATTGGATCGCGTATGAAACGGGATTAAGCCGAACTCAACCATCTCGAACGGGAAAAAGCCGGAGAAAGCCGGATTTCGGACCAGGGCAAAGTCAGAACTGAGAAAGCCGGACTTCGGACCAGGGCAAAGTCAGAACTGACCTCCCAGGAGTTGCACCAGACCGGAAGTTCCGATCCTTCCTCCGTCCCCCCTCCAAGACGAAGCCAGGGCGAGGAGAACATCGGGGGGGACACATCGAGACCCGGCGGCTCCGAAAGATGTATCGGAGCGTCGCGGAACGCTCTGGCATGGATTCTTCCTCGGCCTGGCCCCGTCCTGCCCTCCCCCGTCTCTTGGCGACGCGCACGAAAGGGGCAGGGGAGGGGGAAGGCTTCTTAGAAAGGAGGCTGCTTCTCGGAAGGCGCCAGCCTTGCAGCTACAGACAAGGCCCTCGCCTTCTGAGAAGCAGGGGTGCTTCTAAGAAGCCTTCCCCCCCTCCCCCTACCCCCTCTCTGCGCGCCGTCTGGTCTCTTCCCCCGCAGCAGCTGGAAAGCTGCAAGGGGGGCCACAGGCGGGGCAGCGAGTCGCTGACGACGAGGCCACTGTCTTGCCCGATGCGCCGCGCGCACGCCACGAAGACAGCGCCACGCCTTCGCGCTCTTGGCCATGGGGCACTGGGCAAGGCGCAGAGTGGCGCCTGTGCCCATACAGTCAGGGACTGTTGCGTAGCGTCGCGGCGGCGGCCCAGCGACACGCTGCGCCCCGCAAGCGCATGGCGAGTCGCTCCGCTTTGCGTGGCGGGAGGCTGGGAAAGGCTTGAGACGCCGCCGCTTCGAACACGGGACGCGCTTGGCGTGTCGCGTCGAAGCATGGTGGGCCGGAACAGGCGACGCGACACGCCAAGCCGAAACTCCCGACCGACATCCTTGACGTCCCTCCCTTCCCCTCCCGGCTCCCCCTGGCCTGCGCCCGTCCCGCTGCCCGCCCCCAGCGGCTCCTTCTCGAGAGAGTCCCTCGCCGTGCTGGAGTCCGCCTGTGCGGGCGTGTGGCCACGAGCGGCAGCCCAACGGCGGCTGCCAAGCCGAAGCCCCTGGCCAACAACCTCCTCCTCCTCCTCCTCCCCTCCTCCTCCTCCTCCTCCCCTCCTCCTCCTACCTCCTCCTCCTCCTCCTCCTCCTCCTCCTCCTCCTCCTCCTCCTCCCCTCCTCCTCCTCCTTCCCAATCATCCTTGTTCCTCACCCCTCCTTTCTCCTCCTTCTCCGTCCTCCTCCTCCTCCTCCTCTCCTCCTTCCTCCTCTCCTCCTCATCATCATCATCCATCATCATCATCATCATCATATCATCATCCATCGCATCATCTCATCATCATCATCATCATCATCATCCATCCATCATCATCATCATCATCATACATCATCTCATCATCTCATCATCATCATCATCATCATCATCATCATT